TTAAGGAATCCAAAATTAAGACAGTTTATTAAGACACTTATTAATTAGGGCTAACGAACATTCGTTTGAGAAAATTAAGTGGAAATCATGTGGGATAAGACAGTATTGGGTCATTACACTTTACTCTTTATTTTACCAAGATGACGTTTGGTAGATGCATAAAGAGAAGATAAACTTATTCTGTAATTTTCAGATCCTATTTAAATGATGCTGTTTTAAGTATTGTGTTCGCGTGGTAGCGAGATGCAAGGAGGATCAGACCATTGATATCGAAGACATTTGAAAATGAAACATCCTGTAAAGTAATGTACACAAAAATTGGAATCGTGTGAAGGGTGTCCAACAAAAGGAGCCAAATTGACGTTTCGCAGGATATAAGAATTCCATAGTTCCATAATTTAACGATATAAATAAATTAAATGACAAACACCTTAAAGATGAACAAGTGCAAGGAAGAGTGGGAATCATATGCACCTATTTAGTATAATTATGGACGGAAATGCTTGATTAGCTTGAATATCTTTCGCGTTTTCATATCACATGCATGTATACAATACATTCTGTGAGCGAATACGATTACAATCCTTAAAATATCAACATCAAGAATGCAAGCGATTTTAGCAAGAAAACAGCTGCTTGGCTGCAAGCACATTTACTTCACGCCATCCGTGGCCACATTCATAGTAAGATTGAAGATCGGGTAAACCTGCATTTTGCTATTATAATAGACTAGATTACCTATATTAATAATTATAGGACCTCGACAATATCAGCACATTTGGCATTAGATCTCATGCGATGAATGTTTTCTAGTTGAGTCTACGCAGATATACGAGTAGCAATAGCATACTAAAAGCTATTATGATCCATGTTGGATTGCAGTTCCGAAATCGCATGGGTCTCATCAGCACCTATAAAAATAACCCCAAATAATGCAGCATATTTTCAACTTGTCACGATTACACATTACTGTTCTACTGAGCAGACACGACCTAACGGTAGTATCGAAAAATCAACATAAATTAAAATGAAATTTTCTAACTTCATGGCAAATTACAAGATTATGTCGTCACCGCAAAACTGATGAAAGGCCGGGTTTATTTTTAAATTCGAATTTACTCTGTGGCCCACTGGCACCGGTGGACTTGCAGTCGAAAATTTACGCTGTATTTGGTAAATTTGATTCTTGGGAATTAAATTAAATGGCACCTTAGGGCCTAATCATGTTCGACAATTCAATAACCACTCCATCTTGTTTGATGTAGTGACCAACCTATTTTCATTAATTTAGTGTTCTATATACAAATGAAAAGTATCTGGGTTTGTATAATTCTCTTAAGATAATATTGTTGCGAAGGCATGTTTACTGTGAAAGTGAATGCTGAAGAGATTTGCTAATTGATCTCACCAGAAGACAACTGCTGATACTTCTTATTCTGCAGCCATTTAGCTTTAATTCAACATTTGTTAATTCATGCCGATTCCACCTAGGTTAAAATTTAATAATGTTACAATCAATTAAGCGTAATATGTTTCAAACTCAAAAGCTGAACATAGCGGAACCTTACGTTTGTTCTTATTTTTTAATTTAAATTTCAGGCTGTTGAAGCCTTACAGGGTCAACACGGTATAGGTCCGAACGGCCTGGCTCCTCAAGGACCAAAGATCGTACTTGCACCTGGTAATGCATACAAATTCCGAGTGGCTGGCTTGAATTCGTGTGGCCGAGGTCCCTGGTCAGAGATAAGTGCATTCAAGACTTGTTTACCTGGTTTTCCAGGCGCTCCAAGTGCTATCAAAATAACTAAATCAGAGGCGGGTGCCCAACTGACTTGGGAACCTCCACAAAACACTGCTGGACGAATTATAGAATATTCCGTATACTTAGCCGTTAAGGCACATACAGCCACCGTAGGCACAGAGTCATCCGATACCAAAGTAAGTCAAATAACATGCCTTTTAAAACGTAGATATGGTGTTGTGGCCTTTTCACAGCAACATCGCTTACATCATATAAAAATGTTTACTTTACGTTCGATTACTCAAAAGGTTGACAATTTTTGCCGCGTTTTGTGTGACGTCATAACACCTGTTCAACTTGCCCCCCTCCCTTTAGATTGGTTGATACAAATCCGACCCAGGCTTACTATCCTATTCTGCTCATGGGCCTGTGTATCCGTTTCATATCTTTCTGGTTGATTGATTTCACTCGGTTGTAGTAGGTTTTACTCCATGTGCTATTTCTCAAGCGTTTGCCGAAGGAAGTGAGCAACACTGCAATAGGATGTAGAAATATTTGTTCATGGATTTTGCCGTTGAGTGTCAAATAAGGGGTCCTTATTGCCAAATTGATTAGTTGTGTAAATGATTCCATCCTGATCATTTTTTCTTTTCGGTCCAAGTTTCCCAGTAGGGCCATTAGCGCATTTTATCCAGAGATGTTAGCATTCATGGATTAGGCATCAAAAGTTATCAATAATCTGTTTCTTCCAGTGCAATGTTTTTTATTATTATTTCATTTTAATGTTGATTATCAATTTAACTCCTTTGTATATCTTCGCTGATCCGAGGTTATTTGACCTTGTTTTCGCAACATGTTCATATTGGTAGGAAGACTTAGAGGAACGCACCTTGTTCGGAGTCTATTGTCTGCATGATCGTTTCCAAAGTTGAACTGTGTACATTCCCAAACGTTTCGCCGGCATCTCGGTCGGTATCGTCAGTGAGTATCGCTATTCTTAGTACCATACAACAACTCGTCAGAGGCAAGTGAAGCCTATCCTTTGCCCAAACATGTGCTAAACAATTGTGCTATCTCTCCTTATGCCCTAAGCTATTCACGTTTCCAGTATCATCCTATCATGCTTTCACTATTACAAATTTTACCGAAATCTTTTTTTTTCATATTCATATTTCCTGTCTTATTAGTAAATTTGACTTTCACCAATTCAACCTTACCTTTGTATATATTACGGCATGAGCCGTAATATATTTGGTTTTCTCTCTATACACGATAAGCACACGTTCCATCTGCTATTATTTTCTATCCATTATCATTGTCACTCCCCTTTAATTGCCTCAAGGATCAATTTTGTATTCCCTTGTAGGGTTTATCCTCGCAAACCTATTCCTATTTGTTGGCCCCTGATGTGTCGATATTATTGTAATTATTTCCATCCATTTCCTCTCTAAGGCATCACCTTCACTAAGAGGTCTTCTAGAAACGTTCAGCCTCTTCAGTATCGTAGTGGTTTAGGGGTCAACAGGAACCGAGGCTAAATTCATCATTTTATTCCGATCGTCGTACTGATCAATAGGTGCAGTCTCTTCATAAACGACATCACCTGAGCATGCTTGCCTTAATTTATTAATGCCCTTTTCTTCCATACTTAAACAACTTTTTGTCTACCATACTCCAATTTTTGAAAGTCTTTCGGAGTCAGAAATCTGGGCATATAACGCTGGAGTTTCGATTTAATATCTATATCTATTCCTCTACATAGACAAATGGAGACCTAATCGGATGGTAGTCTTTCAGTCACGCAATTTACGCGTCAAATTAAGTCTCCCTGACAATATGAATAAGTTACAAAAACGAGACCAGACCACTTCTAACATGTCTTGTTTTCCTCGAGATAGCCCAATTCATTTGATGCGTAGATAAGACCAAGATGATCTAGCCTTCTCTTTGGTCGTAGTCTTATTTAGCATTATAGTGTTGGTTCGACCTTAATCAGAGCGTCAGAGAGACCTTGTGGGACTATGTAAGTAGTATTCGTGATTTACATCATTGGACATTCCCAAACGTTTCGCCGGCATCATCAGTTAGAGGCGCCATCACAACGTAGAAGTGACAAATGAGGGCTAATTTTTTTGTTCAATCGTTTAGGAATGTACCGAGCCAATGTTCCAATGCTGGAAATCATGAACACTATGGTGGAGGATACGAGACTAGGTACGTTCCACAAGGTTTCCCTCATGTTTTTTTATCTTGAATTGCATATATGTCAAATTATCACGAAAAAATCGTTCATGATCTGTATTATACCTTA